TTTATATTCAATAACAATTTGACTGTTTTGATAAATTGTTATTAAAAATAAATCTTTGTCAATATGTTGATAAAAAATAGACTATATTCCTTTATATTTATAAAATAATGATGCTGCATAATTATGACCAGCTTTTTTATTTGATTTTGTAATTTTGTCAAGACAACTAATAAAAACAATTATGTTTTCTAACTCTACAATAAAAAGACGAAATATAACTCCTTCTAATAATTTTTGAGCTATTTCAGGTTGATCTAAACTTAAATAGGAGGGTCCTGCAAATTTTGTTTTACTACCAAAGACAGATTAATAAACAGAAGTAATTGCCATGGAAGCACTTGTAGTAATACCATTACTTTGTCCTCCTCCTTCACAAATATAACCAGGTTGTAAAGGGCTATGAACATGTTGAACTATATGAATAATAAATGAAGTATTATTAAGTTGAATCATAATTTCAAGTCCTAAACGTAAAGGAATAGGATATATGTGTTTTTCTTGAGTTTTTTGAGTTTTTTCTTTATAAAAAATCCACTAATCATGTAAATATGGACCATAATGAAGTTTCAAAATAATATTTCCAGTTATAACAAGTTTTCCTGAAGTTATATGATTTTTTGACATGAGGAAAAAGAGATTTCAAATAGAATTTTTTTTACTAGTAAACATAACGCCATAATTTATTAATAAAAAATCAAAATTTCTATCGATCACATGTGGATCAGCAATTAAATTTTTTAGGCATAAATTTCCATAGGTCATATGATATTTCCATAAATTTACATTTAATTAAATTTTCTGATGCATTGTAATATAAAAATTTTAAAGAGACAAATATATATTTAATATTTTCTAATTAACTTATAATAAATTTTATATTAATATAAAGTATAGAACTAAAGTTATTTAATAAATATAAAATTATTATTATAAAATTTATATTTTTTAAGTTATATTAATTTGAAAATTTGTTTCAAAGTGTTGTATTTCTTTTGTGGGTCACTATATCAACTGTATAATTATTTTGGCTATAACTATTCTACATGAAATTTTATTTATAATTGAAATTTTATTAAATAACATTTCCAATGTTAAACTTTTATTTATGTAAAATTAAAATTATAAATTTGATATTAAAAATAGTTTAAAATAATTTTCAAATCTCAAAAATTAAAATTTGTTTATTAACTATTGTTTTAAAATTCATTATTTAAATACTAAAATTTTTTAAAGACAAAAAAACAAGTGTTACAATACTTTTGTGAACTACTGTAAGTTGAGTTAATTTTAATGATCCTTATAAAATTGTAGTAAATTATTTAAGTAGTTTAAGATATTTGTTTGAGAATATTTGTTATTTTTCAGATTATACTTACATGCAAAATTATTTTAAAGTCCTGAAATTGTAATTTCAGAAAAAAAGTCAAAATAGTTTTCATAGAAGACAAAATTATTTTACTTAAAATTCAAAATTTTTTGACCATCCAGATTTATTCTTTAATTGAATATATACATTATACCTGCCACCCAAATTCAAAATCCAAATGTCAAAATCCCAAATCCCAAATCCCAAATACTAGTAATTTGGGATTTGGGCAACACGTATAATACACATAACTGGGTACTTTTTTTATTTCCATATATATAATAGATTCTACATAAATCTCAAAAATCTAAAATCAATTTTGAAAACATATATACTTCAGACCCTTGTTTGTAAGTAGATATAACAACATAAATAATATAAAATTTTATTATAAAATTTATTTTAAGCTATTAATTAAAATTGATTAAATTGATTTTTACATATATTGATAAAGTTTTAATATATATTTATAAACTAATTAAGACTATTAACAGTATGGATATGAATTTTAAACTGTTAAAAAATTCTTGAACATATAAAATATATAATACTGACTATAGATATATCTAAGGTTATTAGATGAAATTTTTAAAATTTACTAATTCAGAAAATTGACAAAAGATAAACTTTTATAAAACCTTATTAAGTACTTATTAATAAGTTAGATATAACTTTTCAAAAGTCAAAATTATAACTAAAAATGATATCGATAATTATGAATTAAGAATTATAATATTACTACTTATATTATAATTATTAAGAATTTCAATGATAAAAAATTTGCAATTTTCACAATTTGTAATTATATACAAGTTCACAATTGTTTTACAAGTTCACAATTGTTTTGTAAATTTATAATTATTTTACAAGTTTTTAATTATTTTTATAAAAAATTTCTTGATTTTAATCAAAAAAAAACAAATTGTTTTTAGTTAATAACTTGATATATGCATGTTTGATTTTAATGAAACAATTATTAAAATATTTACCTTAACAAGAGAAATTAAATAAATTATAGATTATAAAAATTGAATTACAGGTTATAGAAATAATTTCATTTAATTAATTAAATTTCAATTATTAATTAAATAAACTGTTTTTTTAATAACTTGACATAGAAGTATCTAATTGAGATGCAAAAAATATTATTTTAAAGTTAGAAACATGGATATTTTAAAATAAAAATATTGTTATACAAAAGTTTACAATTAATTGTGAAATTGTGAATTTGTATTGTAATTTTATTTAAAAAAATTTATAATATTAAGAACTTTGAAAAATAATTAGAGACACCATCTCTAACTATAACAAATACATATAACTGGTGAAACTATATATGTTTTCAAAATTGATTTTAGATTTTTGAGATATTTTGACTTTTTGAGCTTTATGCAAAATTTATTTTATATATGGAAGTAAAAAAAGTATCTAGTTATATGTATATTCAATCAAAGAATAAATCTGGGTGGTCAAAAAATTTCAGGTTTTAAGTAAAATAATTTTATCTTCTATGAAAAACTATTTCAATTTTTTTTCCTGAAATTGTAATTTTGAGATTTCAAAATAATTTTGTATGCAAGTATAGGTGAAACTATATTAAATTATAGTAAAAATTTTGGAAAAACTTAGGTTTTACCTTTTGCCAAATTGCAAAATAGGTTTTACCAGACAACCTTAGGTATATCAAAAAATTACATAGATTATCAAAAACGACACTTTTGCCGTACTGTATGATCAAATGATCAATTTTATCATATGACAGGAAATCAGGTTATTCATTTTTCACTATTATAATAAGAAAGGGTTCTTTTTTTGAGGATAATATAAAACAATGGATCAACGTAAACGTTCTCGTCCCGCTAACGTCTTTGGTGAAGAAGACGAGCCTACGGTAAAAAATGAGCCAGATGTTAAAAAATTCAAGGGGTAGATTTACGAGATCTATTTTTGATTTTTTCGTTAATCAAACTTCATAAATTTTAATTTTTTCATTTTTTGCCTTTTATTTATTTTTATTTTAAAAGCGTCGGGACAGTAAGTTCTTTATACCTGTTTGATTAATTTTAAAGAGTTATCTTAACATCTCTTTCTGCTATCAGCCAAGTTTTCTTCCAACACCGACCGATCCCACTACTATGTCAAATTCAGCACCACGTCCTGATCAGGTAAAACTTTTTGCTTATATTATTTCTTAAAATTTATTTGAAAGTGTATAAAAATCGAATTAATTTTTGTAATAGATCAAAGCAATGATTGCTGCCAAAAAAGCTCAATTGGAAGCCATGGCGGCTAGTTTTAGGCCACCTCAAGCAAGACCATCATCAGCTCCTATACGTCCACCAATCATAACAACGCCTACACAGATTCCCAATCTAACGTCAGTGGGAATCGATCCTGATCTTCCCCGAAAAATTCAAGAAGCCAAAGAAATGGTTAGAGCAAATTTGGCGGCGAAAGCCAACCCCTATTTGGTAATTATAACATTAATTAAGATTTGAATGCGTAATATTTTTGATATAATTTTAATCAATATTGACCTTTTATTTTCCGACTATTCTATTATTTTTGTTTATTTTTATTTATTCATTTCAACATATTTCTCTTTACTCCTTTTAATTTCGTTTTATTTTTAGCCTTCAACATCCACGTTATCGAAATCTGATGATTCTTCAAAAGCAAAGGGAGGTCTTAGAGTTGAGGCACATCCTGCACTTCTTATGGATCAAAGTGGGAAGTTAGATTTGAAACGAACTGCAGCATTAACTCCAAAGCCTAATTTTGCTACAGTTAAGGTATGTATTTTTTTACCATTTTTTCGTGACATTCCTTTCCCCTATGCTTTTAATGCACACTTTCAAATTTCTTTTTATACAGACATAATTATGTATTTATTCGCCTCAACAGGCAAATCAAAGGGCTGCTCCTACTGCAAAACAAGAACAAAAAGTGTCAACTCCAGAACAAACAACGGATGTTACCCAAAACCCATATTTTGATCCTAGAGCAGGTAATATTGCACCTCAAAGACGTGTTCGTAAAAGGTTCAAATTTGTTCCAAAAGGTAAATATGAAGCTTTAGGAAATCAAATGAGAGCACAGGTTCGTAATGTTATATAAAATTTTATATAATAAAATTTATTAATGTTATATATGAATTAAAATGATAAAAAATTGTATTTAATTTAAATAGGCCAAATTAGAAAAATTGAAGTCAGAAATTGCCGAGAGTGTTAAAAAGGCTGGAATGGAGGCAGAATTAGATTCATCAGATAAAGCAATTAAGGTTTGTTCTTTATAGTCAATTTTTAAATAAAATATATTTATTTTTGTTATGAAGACATTATTGTTAATATTATTAATTCTATTTAATAGAGAGATCCACCACCTGCACTGGAATGGTGGGATTTACCTTTATTACCGAATAAAACATATGACGACATCGATGCTGGGTTAACTAAGATTGATGACGAGGATTCTCTTGTTACATGGTTTGTTCAACATCCAGTTCCAATTAAACCACCAGGAGATAATGGACCTCCACCACCAAAACCACTAATATTGACAAAGAAGGTATGAGATTTTATATTTCGGATTATGATGATTATATTTTTTTTAATAATATATATCTCTCTTAATTTTTTAATTGTTAACAGGAACAAAAAAAGCTTCGTAAGCAGCGCAGATTAGAATTACAGAAAGAAAAGCAAGATAAAATTCGTTTGGGATTGTTACCCCCTGATCAACCGAAAGGTTTGTTTAAATAAGTCACTTTTTTGTTTCGACTTATTATTGGATTTATTATTGAAATTTATTTATTCTCAAATTATTTTAATGCACATTTAATACATTACATATAGTCAAACTGAGTAATTTAATGAGAGTTCTTACGAATGATGCCATTCAGGATCCAACCATGGTTGAAGCGAAAGTTCGTAAAGAAATGCAAAAACGACAAGAAACTCACTTGAAAGCTAATGAAGAACGCAAGTTGACGGATGAACAAAAAAAGGAAAAAAGAATTAAAAAGTTGGAATATGATGCAGAGAAAGCAACTATAGCTTGCGTTTTCAAGTAAAGTATTATTTTATTTTTTTATTTCTAAAATTAATGGGAATTAACATAAAAAATTAATTTTTTTTTTGATTTATAGAGTCAATGATCTTTCTCATCCTAAAATGAAGTTCAAAGTTGATACAAATGCTATACAACTCAAACTCACGGGCACAGTCATTATCAATCCTAATTTCACATTAGTGATTGTGGAAGGCGGGCCAAAGGCAACCAAATATTATAAAAAGCTAATGTTGCGACGTATTGATTGGTCAGATACCACAAGATTAGGTGAGGCTAGTAATGATCAAGATACCGATGAACCTATGAAACCAGTTAAAAAGAATAAATGTTCATTAATTTGGGAAGGAGAGGTTAAAGAGCGAGGGTTTAAAGGATTCTGGTTTAAGACATGCCCGACTGAGAAGATGGCACGTGATTATTTAAAAAAGCACAAAGGAGAGCATTATTGGGATTTAGCATCTAAATATGTCGATGATGGATTTGAAACTATAACTGTTTAATTGTTTAAGGATGGAATGTTTTATTTTTATTTTTATTTCAATTTTATTTTATCAATGAGAAATTATATTAAAGAATGTAATTACTTATTTACATTACAAAATTATTTGAATAAATATAAATTTTTTATTAATAAACTTATTAATTATTGTATTTTAAAGGTGTAGTAGAGATTTATATGTACACTTATAAGTGACACTTTAGCTTAAATAACATTTAATGAAATAATTATTTATTAAATTTATTAAATGCACTAAAAATTGGATAAAATTAAACATACATTTGAATATTATTCCTCTTTTATTTAACTTAATATTACATTACATATTCAAAACCTATTTATAAAATTAGCATATATTAAAATATTATTAATATATTAACTATAAATAACAAGCAAGTAAATCTCATTATTTAATTATTAAAATTTTTACTAATCAGATGTTAGAAGAAAAAATAATAATAAAAAAAAAAAAAAAAAAAAAAAAAAAAAAAAAAAAAAAAAAAAAAAAAAAAAAAAAAAAAAAAAATAATTAAAAAAATTACACATAAATAATTAGCCAATTTTAATAAACATTTGTAATAATTGTTATATAAATTCTCTAAAATTATCTGAAAGTTACTTTATAATTATAGATATAAATTACTAGTAAATTGTGATAAATTGTGGTGAATGTCCAATAAATTAATAATATGAAATTTATGAAATGTAATTAATTTTATTGAAATAATTTAAATTTGGGTAATTTATACCATTGTTTTATTTTATTTTTTTTTATTATTATTTAAGTAGTGTAAATAACGAAAATAAATTCATCACTAAGTTTACTTCAATTGTATTTATTTCTTTCTTTTATGGAATCAAAATAATAAATAATTTTCAGTCAACAACTTTTTTTGAATATGAAAAAGGAATATATATTGAATAATATAGATTATTGGTTATTTGATATTTTTAAGAATTTATTGATGAATATAAGAAATAAAATTTATTCTTTATTATTATTATTATAATTATTATTATTATTATTTTGCTATTCTGAACGTCCTCCTCGTCCGCGACCATAACCACCTTTGAATACAGGATTAAAGTCACTAGAAGCTCCCTCCTTTTTACCTTCATCATCGCGTCGACGATAATCACCACGGTCGCCACGGTCACCACGATCACCACGACTTTGTGGAGGTCGATAAGCACCAGAATCCCGTTCTGATTCTGATAAAATCAATGGTTAATTATTATTTATTAATTATATTATCAATTATTAATTATTATATTATTAATTATTAATTATATTAATTATAATTATTAATTATAATTATTAATTATTAATAGTTATAATTATTAATTATAATTATAAATTATTAATTATTAATAATTTAACAGATAATTATTATTTATTCCGTACTAACCTGGACGTCCTCTCCCACCTCCAGCTGGTCGAGCTTGTTTTTTGAGAGTAGCCGGAACAATTTCTTGAGGTAAATGTAAATATTCCCTCAGATATGAAATGCCTTCATTAGTTAAAGAGTAATAATAATACTGCCACGAAAATCGTGTATTTACGTAACCCTTAGAACGAAGACTTTGACAAGCTTTGATCACATGAAGATTAGGAACATCGATATCTTGATGTTTGGGTGCATTGAAATCCTTCTTGGCAACTAATACTCCCTCTAAAAATTATTTGAACATATTCCATTAATTATATTAATCATAATGATCTTTACTTGTAAGATCTTGTGAAGAAGAAGAATAAACTCTCAACTTAAATAACTAACCTTTGAAAAGACTTTCGTAGATAAGTTTGCGGTTTTGCTTTGGCATAAGCATCTTCGCTATCTTATCTAAATAATAAACCAAGTCATTTAAAAAATTCATTTGAATTATATCCAGTTTTTTTTTTTTGTTTGTTTGATTCATTCCATTCTTAGCCATTCTTATCCATCACTCAAAATTAATAATGTTTGCAAAAAGTAGTGGATGGATGATTACCTTTTTCTACACGAGGTAAAGAGAAGGTCCAATAATTTCGAGCAAAAAATTCGACTTTATCAAAAAATGTGGATGTTGTACTAACATTAACCAATCAAAAAACTTCAAATCCCATGATATGAATTCTACATTATAATTTGATTTAGTTCAATACTACCTATATATTGGAGTTCTCGTCTTATACTAGGGTACAAGAATTTATACAGTTACTTTAAAATCAATTGTCACCAAGTAAAATACCCTTGAGTATTTAAGGGGGTAATTTGCCATGGGAAGTACTACGCCTGCAATATACGGTACTTTCTTATTATTACTACAAATTTAAAACCAACTTTTATCTTATTTAGTATTTAGATAGCACGTTATTGAGAAATTTCCACTTTTTCTTTTTGAAAAAAGACAACTTTTAAATTTTTGAAAATTTTTGAAAATATTGACATTAAACAAGATTTTCCACATTTGTTATATTAAAGTTATTTAAAGCGTGTTTGTAAAACAGTCTATCAAAAAAAAAAACGCGCAATTAAATCACATAAATCAAATATAAATCAAATAAATTCAATTAACCAATTATTCTTCACACGAAGATCGGAAATAAAGTATTTAAACCCATCATTTTTCACCATCTTCTTAAACATTCCATCAATTCCATCAACCATCAATCACCTTCACAATCTTTTTTATTCATTCATTATCTGAAAATTTTACCTTTTTTTTTTTTTTTTCCTTTAATATTTTTTATCATAAGATGTTAGTTAACTTTGACAAAGGAATTGAGTCACAGGAAAGAGTAAAATAAAAATAAAAAAAATATTTATTTTCTTTACAAAAATTAAAATAAAATAAAAAATATGATTATTATCAAATATATTTTTAATATATATTTATATTCTGATATAAATATATTGTATATTTATTTTATTTACAAATATTTATATTATTTTACTTGTAAATTTACACTTTATCACTGGTAGAATAAATTTTTTTTTCTTACTAAAAGATCGTTCCGTTAAATCTTCGTCATTGCAGATCGTTTCTTTATAAAAAATCAGCCAACAACGCACTAATATACAACAAAATACTTGTATATTATAATTCTATTGGGGAATTCCCACTCATTAGAATACTCAAATAACCTAATTCGGTTAAGTGGTTAAATTTTATTTGATACAATTTTTTTTTTTTACAATAAAAATAAATAATATAATTAATATAATGTGATATAATTTGATGTGATTTTTATTATGGATATGTAGAAAAAAAAATGACTAATCGTTAGTTGAAATCATTACACAAGAAAATCATCGGGATTGATCAACTGACGATCTAATGTCGTACCACTTGATTAATCATATTCTTATCACCTGCGCATTCTTTGATACTTTGATACTTTTGATCGTCCCAATAAATAACAAATGTGTAATGATTGACATTATACCATAATTAAACAACAACTCTTTCCTCTAAAAATTATCTAATATCTATATTACTTTATTACTATTATATTATTATCAAAAGATGCAAGCGACAACAACGACAACTCAAGAATCTACATCACCAGTAGTAACAACAGCGACAACAACAGTACCACCACAGCCACCACCAGCACTACCACCTACTACTACTACTAATAATAATAATAATAATAATACAACGACATCGACGACGACGTCGACGACGACGGCACCTACAACAGCTACAATGACGAGTACTTTTAGTACAAAGACTGTATCTCAAACACCTAAAAGATATAAATGTGAAGTTTGTCAAAAAAGATTTACTCGTCCAAGTTCATTGACAACACATTCTTATACTCATACCGGTGAAAAACCTTTCAAATGTCCAGTAGAAGGTTGTGGTCGTCCATTTTCGGTCATGAGTAACTTACGTCGTCATCAAAAAGTTCATAAAAAGTGAAATTATATATATATATTTTATTTATTGGTATGTATATATAACGGTTGAAGTAACTTATATCTTCTATATAATTGGTGAATTACTAAAAAAAAAATCAAGTTTTATTTTTTTTTCCATTCATTAATATCGTTTACAATTTCGAAAAGTACGTACATTAGTAATATTACCTATTCAATTCTTTACCCTTTGACTCTCTTCGTTCCTTACCCTTTTTGACTCTTACTCTTCACTTTTTTTACTCTTTTACTCCTTACTCTTTCACTTTCACTTTTTACCCTTTTCACGCTTTTTTTGAATATGTTGTATATAATCCGTTGGAAGGGGAAAAAAAGTATTAAAAGTGTGTTTGTTTATCTATTACATTTTTTTCTTATTCGAATTGTTGTTGATTCCAAAAAAATTATTCTTATATAATTAATATATATATATATATATATAAAAATATATATTTCTATATATAACTCTGATATAAAAAAAATTTCCCACATCTCTTTACCTTTTCAATCTTTTCATTTAAAATATCTTCGGGGGGATTTATATATATAAATATGAGTGTGTGTGTGCGTGCGTGCGTGCGTGTGCGCGTGTATGATTAAAAATTTAGACTTGGGTCATTTTATTTCTTTTCTTTATTTTCGTGTGTCAAAAAAAAAAATTCTTTTCGTTTGTTCATTCGTTGATTTTATTTTCTTTTCCTTTTACTTTTTTTTTTTTACTTTTATTTCTGCAATTGCTTTTTTTTTTGTTATGTAATTTCTGTTTAACAAAAAATAAAAAATAATAATAATTAAATAAATAAGTTAATACATTTTTTTCCTGTGATTTTTGTGTTATATAATTAATACAATAATTTGATATACAATAATTAATTAATATAATAATTTGATAATTCAATATACAATTATTAATACAATAATTTAATAATTTAATTATATAATAATTTAATACAATGATAATATTTTCTTGTGAATTCATGATGATGATTTCAGAAATTTTCAACGAGAGAAAGAGAAGAAAAGATAAGTAAATTTGAATCACTTTTCAATGTGAATAACTATTTTATTGTAACATTTATTATCTTTATTTATTTATTTAAACATTACTATATTTATTATTTTATTTATTATTTTATTTATTATTTTATTTTTTTTTATTTTATTTATTATATATTATATTTTATATTTTGTATTTTAATTTTTATTTGTTATTTTATTATTTGTTATTTTTATTATTTGTTATTTTTATTATTTTTATTATTATTTGATATTTTTATTATTTTTATTATTATTATTTGTTATTTTATTATTTGTTATATAAAAATCTATTCATTATACATATGTAGGAAATCTTTCTTTTAAAGAATCGAAAATATAGGTAATTTAATAATTAATAATTTTAATAATTAATAATTTTAATAATTGTTAAATTTTTCTTTGATTTTACTAAATCTTTTTTCTGATTTTTTTTTTAATTATTTAGAGATAATAATTTAAAAGTTTAAAAGAATTCTGAACTGTTTTGCATATCTTTTCTTTTTCTTTTTCCTTTTCTTTTTCTTTTTCCTTTTCTTTTTCTTTTTCTTTTTCCTTTTCTTTTTCCTTTTCCTTTTTGTTTTACAAGTTTTTCTCAAAAATAAAAAAAAATATGGTTAGTTATAAATAACTAAGATATATAATAAAATAATAAATAAATATAAATATATATATATACAATCTTTTTATCTTTATCAAAACTGTTTTGATAGAAGATATACATTTTAAGTAAGGTACATTTGGCAACTAGAATATTTTCTTGTTCGAGATAATTAGATTAAAATTTGTAACAAAAATATTTCAACTTGTGATTAATTAAATTATCATCTGAAGAATAAAAAACAAAAAATTTATTTATTCTATCAAACTAATTAAATGCTTGCTTAAAATCCAAAAATTTTTAAAATTTTATTTCATATAGGCTTTTTGTAAAAATATTTTATTTAATTTAACATCAAGAGTATATCAGGATAAATAAAAATAAAATAATTTTCTAAATTGTACAAATTATCATGTTAGGATACTATAAATGAATCGTTAAAAAAAAAAAAAAAAAAAACCTCCGGAAAAAAAATTTTGAATATTAGAAGAAAAATTGTATTTCGACATCCGTCATAAAATTGTCAAAATTAGAAAAGATTTTTAAGACCATTAGTAAAAAGTAACTTTTAAATATGCATTTCTCCTTTCAATCTTATTTAATATGTTTACCCAAAGAAACGAAAGAAAATTTGATTCAAGATGGAATTAATTTCGATACTTCTCAACTTTATTATCTTCAATATCTAAAAGTATTAGATTTATCTTTAATAACTAGTTTTTTAATGCATGGACCTCTAATGACGAAACGACTTTTAACTTTCAATAAAAAAAAAAAATCATAAAATATCTTCTTTAAAAATTATTTTGAGTTGGGTTATAAGTTTGAAATGTATAATCAATTATCCCGTTAATAATTTTCGATCTCATCACATTATGGAATTCTTTATATCATCTTCAAACTTTGGAAGTAACATTTTCAAGATGAACTGCTGAAAATAATGATCCTGTGGAAGAAGCATTGTTTCGTGCTACAAAATTCTAACTATATTGAAAATATTAAAGAATCAGTTATTATTAGAAGTTCAAATATTTAAAAGGATATTGGAAAGCTTTTTTGTAATTTGATTAATAATAATTAGTTTACTTCAAAACATTACAATCAATTATACCCAAATATAACTAATCAATAATTTGATTTTGACATAATTTTTACTTCTTTGTCAGATTTTATTTGAATATCAATATTTTGAGATTAGAATTAAAAACAATCAAAGATTATAAGATTTTGAAAATATTAATTCAATATTAAAAGAATTAACTTTTTATTTACATGAAGAGAATGAAAAATTTAAAATAAAATATACATAATTGAATCAATTTTGACATTTTGTAAATTAAAAATATACCTATTTGATATATTAATTATTGGTATATTCTCTAAATTATTTATTATATTGCTTTTTTATTAATAAGCTTGAAACTCAAATATATATTATTCTTTTAAAAAAAACTCCTTGGACCGAATTTATACTGTAATTCCATTTTATTATATTTTATTACATTTTATTGTGTTTAATTGCATTTTATACATTTTATTATATTTTATTATTTATTTCATGACAGTGATGAACGATAATGGAAGAAATACTTATCATTGTTGAATATAATTGTTCAATTAAAATCATTTAATAATAAAAACCTTGATCTATTATTCACAAATTGATTTTTTATCATACCAAAAATAATTAAATAAAAGTAATAAATCCAAAATTGGAATTAACTATGTAAATTAATTCAACAAAACTATCCTCAATAAAAAGAAGTGAATTCTATAATTTATTTACTCTAAATATCTTACTATTATTTTGCTTTATTTTTATTTTCTTCTTTCTTGTTTTCTTCTTGATATTTCTTTTTAATTTCTTCAATGAACCATGGTTTTTCCAAATCTTCTTCATCTATTTTGTGGTCAGGTGGAAAATTCTCAACATTTTGCTGTTGTGTTAATCTACGCTTTGATTTATTAAGATCAAATTGCCAGGAAAATAAAAGAGTTGAACTCTTGCTTACAATTGTTGAATCATATCTTTTAGCCAACTTTATACTTTCAGGTTCAGATAAACAATATACATGCTCTAATAGCCATTGCATCACATCAGGCTTCTTTTTGAAAGTTGCCAAACAAAGAATATTCATCTTCTTCTTAGTATCCTGGATCCTGGCATCAGCACCCTTCTCCAACATAAACTTTATAGTTTCAATTGGCCAATCATATTGTATGGCCATAAATAAAGCAGTTGGAGCATAAAATGTTTGATATGTTGATTCAACAGTAATTGATAAATTAGGGTTAGCTCCCATCTCTAACAATGTCGTAATTATAGGTTGTTTTAATTCTTGTTTATCTTTTTCAACCAAATAGTACGAAAGCACCGTTCTTTTGTCTGGATCACGTGCATTTACCAGACATTTATTTTCACATAATAATTTAATTGCTTCCGCTATTCGTCCTACACGTCTTTTGAACTTTGGATCATCAGGCACATTTTTTTTCATATTGTTTTCATATAATCGATGAAGAGCAGTTTTACCATTTTTACTCTTTAAAGAAAAATCAGCATGATATGCTTTTAAAGTTTTTAGCATAGTTATTAATTTTTTTCCAGAACAATGCGCAGATGCAATATGGACCAATGGTTCAATGTAACCTTTGAATTCATAATTACTATCCACAGCTGCTCCATGATCGAGATGATATTGCAATCCTATCACATCTTCGGCTCCAACATGTAAGGCAGCATTACAGCGGTTTAGTTCAACATAATTTATCGAGTTTTGATTTTCATCAACGTATTTGGTAAGGATGTCAACACAAGGTATCATTTTGGAATAAATATTAGTTTTAGATTTGGTTTTGTTAGTTTGACCTTGTTAGTAAAAGAAATAAAAAGAAATAAAATAATTAAAATAATTAAATTTCATTCATAACTTGTGTTCAACATAAAATATAAATGATACATACTAGACTTTTGTGATGATTGAGAAATAGGAGTTTTATGAGGATTTGAATAATTTTGAGGAGGATAATTTGGTCGTAAAGTTGAAGAAGAAGAAGATAAAGATGATGGTGGTGTCTGTTGTGAATTCGGGTGAGGATACATCTGTTGTGAATTCGGAGGATACATTGATTGTTGTTGGGGCAAACCTTGTGGATAATTAGTGTAATTAGTCCTTTGGTCTGGAACAAAAGCAGGATTTAGTGGTTGGGAGGCCAAGTTTGGAACGTAATATTGTTGTTGTGGTTGTTGTTGTTGTGGTTGTGGTTGTGGTTGGAGTTGTGGTGGTGGCTGTAACTGTTGTGGCGGATACGCATTATTATAAGCAGAATACCCATACGTTTGACTTTGATACGGCTGTTGAACGGAAGGAGAAATTTGTGGATAATTATTATTTTGGTTTTGTGGTGCCACATAATAATTTGGTTGATTTTGTTGTTGTACTGGAATATTTTGCTGTTGTTGTATTGGAATATTTTGTTGTTGTTGTATTGGAATATTTGGTTGTTGTTGTTGTTGTTGTTGTATTGGAATATTTGGTTGTTGTTGCATTGGATTTGGAAAATAAGAACCTAAAAAGAAAGATTATTAAAAATATTATTAAAAATATTTTTAACAAGATTATTATCAAGATTATTATTACCAAGATTATTACCAGGATTATTACCAAAATTTTGTTGTTGATTGAAACCAAGGTTTGGTGATGGTTGATTTGGGTATTGAGGTTGATTTGGATACTGAGGTTGAGGTGGTTGATTGTAAGGAGTATGAGGAATATTACTACCGTTTCCACTATTACCGCTAGACGGGGGAGTAACATACCTACCAAACTGATTCGGATCACCACCTGAAGAGGAAGGTCCTATAAATTGATTTTGACAAAATTCATTTGAGTTTTGTGGAATGTAAAAGGTGGAGTGGAATATTTATTTATTTTATGCATTATTATTCCTACTTGTTTGGTTGTTATTCATCTGTATATTTTGAATTTGTGGACGTTGTTTTGTAGGATCTTCCCATACAGGAATCAATCTTACTTTTTCTAATTTATTACGAATTTCTTCTATATCAGAGCGTTGAGATGGATCACTATTCCAGGCATTTTCATAAATAGTTAGATAATCTATGGGAGTTCCATCAACAGGATTCTCTCTTTTACCCTTTGCTACATCGCGTGTAATGTCATACATTTGCCGGTTATTAAATGGAGGTACACCACTTGATATTTCCCAAAGTAATACTCCTAAACTATAAATATCTGATTTTTTGTCACGTTTGTATTTAGAATCTGTGAAACATCGTGGTTCCATATAACCCGCCATTCCTACTACCACGGAATCTGAATTTGCTTGACCAGATTTTGATAATCCAAAATCTGTTATCATCATTCTTCCTTCATGCACTAATATATTTTTTGAATGCTAATAAAAATTTATAAAGAAAATTTAATAAAATATCTATATAAAAATTAATAAAAATATGTAAAAGATACAAACCAAATCTCGATGTACAATACCACGTTCATGTATGCACTTGAGACCACTTGCTATTTGTTTTCCCATACTTAATTTTGTTGCCCAATTAAGTTTTGCATGGTTGTTGCGTAGAAAATCTCTTAAATTTCCTCCGTCTGCGTATTGTAATACCATAAAATATCTTAAACTTGATGGATCTAATATAAAAATATAAATTTTTTGATTATTTTTGTTAAATAAAATAATTTGGATATCTTTAACGAATAAAAGTAGTTAAAAAAAATTGTTACCATAAGTTACACCGAAGAATCTTATTACATTATCATGAAAGTCAACAGAACGAATTAATCGTAACTAAATTTTAATTAATGTTAATTGAAAAAATTGTTTTTTTTTCTGCTACAGTATTTGCAAGTTATCTAGTGTTCTATTATCTTAGATTACCTCCTTAATGAATTCTTCAAACGATTGATCAAATTCTGTCCCCGGATTATTATATAAAGTTTTCAATGCTACAACTTTCTCTGCACTATCCCAATAAGCTCTAGATACTTCGCCGAAAGCGCCTCTAGCTATTGGCGTACTTTGAGTAAACGAGTCGAAGTCAAATAATATTATGTGTCCTCCATCGATTGCTGCTCTCAACCATTGAGACATTTGTGTATTTAAGAATGCGATATTAAGAAAGAAAATATAATGAATAAAACGTCAAAAATATATATAAATATATTGTAAGATAAAATATTTTTAGAATTTTTGGTATATTTGAAAATGTATCGGAATATCGGATAGCATTTAAAGCAATATAATAGTACTAAACTAGTGTAACTTTACACAATCCAGAAAGGAAATAAAATGAAATAAAATAAAATTTAATTAATCATTCATTTTTTCTAGTCTCAATAACTTTTTCATTTTAAATCTTCGCTAATACTTTTTTTCATCTAAAAATAACTATTTCATCCCAATTATCTAAAAAATATGCCTTTTAATAACTTAATTGGAAATATTGTCCATCTTGATAATTTTGGATTCACTTTTAGTTTGAATGCACAAAATTCTTTATCTTCATCTTGTACAAAAATTCACTTCTTGCCAAAAGTGTTAATTTCCTTCACAATACTAAAAAGTCGAATTATATTATCGCTATTTTCGAAATTGTCTTGATCTATCAAAATAAATATTTTGATTAGCGACTACAGAAGTCAATCACATGATAACACATGTGATTAATTTTAACCAATAAAATTTATAGATCTATTTAAAAATTATGTGATATTTACGAGATTATCGTGCATCGTACTACATAAATGTGATAATTTGTGTGACATATAAAATATTTGCCAATGATCATATACTTCAGGTGACTTCTCTCTTGCAAATTGACCATAAATTAATCAAAAATTTTATATTAAATTTTTATATTATAAAAAGAATTTTTTATGGTAAGTAGTTTCTTTAAAAATTTCAGGCATTATAGTATATTAATTTTAATAATATTTAATAATTATTATATAAGATACTTTTTTTACAAGAACTTTTCAACATAATTATCCTAACAATCTATATATTGATACTGAATATGTTTCTGGAAACAGAATTTTTTATTCAAAATATAAAATAATATCACTTGGATATTATTCTCAAAATGTCAAATATACAAAAAAAAGTAAAAATGATAGTCAATACCAAATCCCAGATAAATATATTATGAAAACAGAAGTTGCAGATTGAATATTATATTGTAAAACTAAATACATCTCAGTTAACAAGGTTTTATTTATAATTAAATAGAAAGAAAATAAAACTGAGTAGGAAGTTTCAAGTGAATGGTTATCAAGTGAAACTATAAGTATATTTTTTTAAGTAAGTAAATTTATTTATTAATAGTTATTAAAATTATTTATAAGTAGAATTATATTTAACTTAAATATTATTAATTTAGAAAATAAATTGAAAAGAATCAAAGTTATCTGAAATATTTGTATTTGGATTTAATATTGAAATTTTATATCAAGAACGAATTAAAAAATTACAAAAATTAGATACTGAAAAAATTATTATTGATAAAAGAAAAAGACTACTTAATGAATTGTCAATATCTCAACAAAATAAATGACTTATATCATTTGGATAAGATACATATCAAAAAATAAATCAATTTATTTTAAAACAAAGATTAACTTCAGAATTTGGAAAGTTAATTCAGATACGTAATATTGAACTGGAAGCTAAGAATATTATTAATTTAAAATATAATTTATCAATAGATATTACAAAACTAGATGTTTTAATCATCAGGAAATTTAATTAGGCATAGATTTATAGAAATATCACATGACCTCTGGAAATTTATACCTGAAAAATTTGATTTTTTAACTTTGGCCAAGATTTAAGTGACAGGGAGCGATTTTCTACTAAGATATTTCTAAGATAGATCGAAAGCCCTGGTTTTTGGCTACAAGATGATATGTGTTTCATTACTATAGCATCGATATTCGCGGAGAAATTCACGTTTAAATTTAAAGCGTTCATGAAAATTTATGTCATAATTTTTTCATAAATTTTTGTAATTCTGCCAGAAATTTTTATTACATCACAAAAATTTCCAGCGGAATTACAAAAATTTACAAAAAATTATGACATAAATTTTCACGAACGTTTAAGTTTAAACGTGAATTTCTTCATGAATATTGATACTATAGTAATGAAACACATATTATCTTATAGTCAAAACAAGGACTTTCGATCTATCTTAGAAATATCTTAGTAGAAAATCACTTCCTGTTGCCTAAATCTCAGCTGAAATTAAAAAATCAAATTTTCAGGTGTAAATTTCCAGAAGTCATATGATATTTCCGTAAATTTACACCTAATTAAATTTCCTGATAATATACACAGGTAGGGTTGTTAATAGAACATAATAGGTTGAGTTGGGTTCATATTATAGTGGAGCAATGGTCAACTCAACCCAACCCGGGTTAAATGTATCACTAGTACTCCGCGGGTTGCTCCAGGTTACTCTGGATTACTTCATGAAGTAATAATTATAATTAGTAAAATTGATCAGAAATAATTATCGATCGTTGCTATATATAAAACTTTTTATTTTAATAAGTAAACGTTAAAAACTATACTAAATAATAAAGACAAAAATGAATTGCGTATTATATTTAAAGGATAGATTTATATCATCAAAATTAAGAGAATAATTAATGATTAAATTTCGAACAGATGAAAAAATCTTAAAACGACAATTATTCATTCAATTTTGATAATATAGATCTGTTCTTGAAATATAATATATAATTCATTCTCGTCTTTGAGGTTACTTAGTAACGTTTTTGATATATACTTATTAAAATAAAAAGTTTTATATGTAGCAACGATCGATAACTTTGTATATAATTCCATTATAGCATAATTACAACAAAAAATCATTATTTAAAAAAAAAAACTCTTTTCCAAAAAATTTAATTTTATTAAAATACGCAGTAAAATTATTTCGAAATTGTTTTTTATTATTTTTTTAGTTTTTATTTCATTAGTCTTCAGTAAACTAACCGACAAGTATGAGCAATAGCTCATTCGTTAGAACTAGAAGGAAAGGTGTCAACTATGACACCACTTCTAGAAACTTAACACAAGATAAAAATAAATTTGATCCCATTGGCAATAAACTAATTCTTAAAAAACAGAATACAAAAAACAAATTGAAAGAATCCTCTGATGAAGAAAATGACGATGCTATAGCATTGGGCAGTAATTTAACCCTCCAAGTAATTATCTCAAATAACAAAATTACAGAAAATGAACTTGAATCATATGAACAAGTTATTGACATGGAAGAAGAAACAGACACGGGTGCGAAAAAC